TGGTTGGCCTAAAATCGTGAATCATGGATAAAGCCTGTGAATCGATTTGTCTAACGTAAATAGTACAATAGTATATTGTGCAATAAGTGCGGTAAATTGTCTATTGCCCATGAGAGCGGAGTTGAGCGCACCAACTCCGCTCAAGTGGGTAATAAACTTCTGCACAAATTGCACAAACTATTTTTTATTACGAATTCAAATCATGTTTTTCTTCTTCTTCTTCTAGTGGTTGGTCCTAATAAGTCCCATAGCATTGCGGCCTAATTAGGCCTATTGTGCATCCCACTACTAGTCCTATTCAGCAAGTAGATTTGTCCTTTTTACAAAGTCCAAAAGCTTCCTTGCTGACACTTCTCTCAGTTCCTTGGGTTCCAAATAGGGTCTCCCAAGGAGCGTCATTCTGCTACGTGCAAATCCCGGGCAAAATCATGTTTTACACAATTTATTTTATTTCTTTTCAGATTTTTATTGAGTGTAAGTTGGACATAAATAACTATNTATTGTGCGTCCCACTACTAGTCCTATTCAGCAAGTAGATTTGTCCTTTTTACAAAGTCCAAAAGCTTCCTTGCTGACACTTCTCGCAGTTCCTTGGGTTCCAAATAGGGTCTCCCAAGGAGCGCCATTCTGTTACGTGCAAATCCCGGGCAAAATCATGTTTTACACAATTTATTTTATTTCTTTTCAGATTTTTATTGAGTGTAAGTTGGACATAAATAACTATTAACTGTCATTTAAATGAAATGCCACTTTTTAAGAATAATATTTTCGATTGTTTTTTTTTTAATTATTCATCAAATGAAAAATCAAGAGATGACTGGCATAGATTTGCATAGTTTATTTAAATTTTGCGTGTTTGATTGTCAACTGGGGGGGTGACAAGTGTGATTACCACACGCAAACAGCTATTTACCGACCTAAAAAACAAGTGAAAAAATAGTAGATGTTCTCATCAACGACCCAAGTCTGGATCACTTCTGTGACACGTCTCTTCTGTCTATCCCGGGGCTTAAATCTCTTAAATCTTCCTGGAATAATTTTTTTATTTTATATTGAAAGTAAACCATGCCCTATAATTTACGTAACGTTTAGCTTTTCGAGAAAAAAAATAAAAATTTAATTTTTGATAAATCTGCACATTCTAGGTCTTCGAGGAACTTCTGTTAGATGCCGACTGGTCCGTAAACGCGGGAATGTGGATGTGGCTGTCCTGTTCCAGTTTCTTCCAGCAGTTTTTCCACTGCTACTGCCCCGTCAAATTCGGCAGAAAAGCTGACCCTAACGGCGATTACATAAGGCAAGTGTAAACACTGCTTCGACGTAAAATCGTTTTCAATTAATCCTATTTTTAGAAAATATCTGCCGGTGCTCAAGAATATGCCCATACAGTACATCCACGAGCCGTGGGCGGCTCCTGAGAACGTCCAGCGTGCGGCGAAGTGCATGATCGGAAAGGACTATCCTCTTCCGATGGTGAACCACGCCAGTGCTAGTCGTATCAACATCCAGAGGATGAAACAGGTGTACCACCAACTCGCGAACTACCGGCCTCTAGAACACTGTAAATGTAACGGGCCGGAAAACCACAAAGATGGTTTCCAGCATCAGGCGAATGCGGTTACGGTTGGGAATCACAATAGTAATAATCAGTCATTAAATTAAGGACCATATTTATTTTTTTGTAGATTTGTGATATTTTTATTAATTTTCTAAGATTTGTGTCAAATTGAAAGCATAGGGTTTAAGAGAGACACAAACATTTTAATTCTCGATTAACATTACACTATTTTTGAAAGATTAGATTTTTTTATTTGAAATTTTTTTTTTAACCATATTTAAGACGGTGGTGATGGTTATCGCCTTTTAAATACATTATTTCTCTGTAATCGTTAGGTGTCTATCTTAGTTTTTCTTAAAGCATTTGTTAATACCTAGAAAAAAAAATACGAGTATGTATTTTGTATTTTTTATTTTATAAAACAAATAAATATTTTAGTTAGACTTTTTCTCTTATCCTACAAAAATAAACTTTTTGGAAATGTAACAACAAACTTAACGAATGACTCTAGGTTTACAGAAGAATTTGTGTGGCCTACGTAAATTTATCTTGATCTAAAATATATACAACTACTTTGGAAGAGCTTTCTTGGGGTTCTACAATGGTACCGTTGTCTAAAATATATGCGTTTTCACCTAAAATAAGAAATAAAAGGGTCGAATTTTGTTATACAGGATGTCCGCAATATAAAATAAATAAAACTACTACGATGCTACGATAGATTTGAAATACTTCTTAAAATCAGTTTTTAATATAAAGTAATTGCTACTATTTCTTTAAACCACTGTGTTTAGTTTGTGAATCTGTCAATTAGACCGATCAAAATAACTGGTTTGGGGGGAAAAAAAATCGTTACCTGGACTTTTATAAGTGGAAATGGTAAAGGGGCTTATAATAAACGTAAAAAAAATGCATGAGCAGGGGCAGTGGAGGGTTGATATGTGGGGTTGAAATGTGAAAAATTGTATCATTGGGATTTCTGGCGAAAGTTGACATCAAACAAAAAAGTATCCAATACAAAATCTACAACTTTTGTAGAGGTCACTTTTTAAGATAATCTTAAAATTTCCGAGAAAAATGCGAAAAACATGCTTCATTCTTATTTTTTGTTTTTGATTTCTCATTTCCTCAAAAATAATTTAATTTTGACGAAACTTGGTGAAAGTATACCTTGCTGTGTCTTAAATAATCACAAATTTTTTTAGATGAAAAAAATCAAGAAGTTTCCGAGATATTCATTTTTTTTCGTTCTGAAAAACTTTTTTCAAAGAAAAATTCTACTTAGAAAAATCATCGTACAGAGATCTGCCAGTGATCATTTTTTTCGTTTCGACATATACTTTTTGGTGAAATAAAAAAAATCTGTAATCACAGTTTAAAAACATTGTCAAAAATGCAAAAAAGTAAAAAATGACTTGCAACAATGAATTTTTCAGTAATTGTTGATAATTTGTTTAAATTAAAAAAAAAATTCAAAAATTAATTACACCATACAATTGTACGGAAAAAATACAGAAAAAACTGCCTCATTGTTTGACCCAAAACTTTAATTTGTACAGTATTGCTATAAACATAAGTCGGAATAGTGAATAAATAAAATGAATAATAATTTTTTTTCCATAGAATCGATTAGTATACTTACTTTTTTTAATTTTTATGAATTTATAGATATACAGTGTGTCCTAGATAAGGATGGGATAGCATTAGGATCTAAGAAATGGTAAAAGATACGAAGTGGCTCAAATTAGAAAAAGAGTTGTTTTTTTATACCTAACAACCGTTTAAAAGGTTTAAGAATTCCACGTAGTTCCGGAAATATCCGAAAAAACATGAAATCATCGTTTTATTTTTTTCTGGTTTTATTTGAAAACGATTTTAAAATAAATTTCATATTTGCATTACCACGTTTTTCGCTCTATCCAATGGCGTCAACATTTTTCCTGAGTACGGCTCGAAACGCTTTCAAAATATCTGTTGGAGGAAGTCATAACAGTATAAAAGTCGATACAGCACAAAATATCCAACAATTTTTTTTAATCACTAATTTAACAAGTTGTACCTAATAAAAAAATAATACAAATTTATGAAATGTTTATTATTTCTAACTGCTAAAGTAGTAAAAAAAAATTGTTGGATATTTTATGCGGTATTGACTTTTATACTGTTATTACTTCCTCCAATAGATATTTTGAAAACGTTCAGAGCCGTACTCAGGAAAAATTTTAGCTAAAACAAGCCAGAAAAAAAATTTAAACAATTTTGCAAAATTTCGGACACACTATAAGCGATTTTTTAATTAAATTATTGAAAATTTATTTACAATTAAATTAATACTAGGCGAATCTGGGTCTTTTTGGCAACTTTTTAACTTGATCTTCACCGTCCGATTCTTCATTAGACTGGGTTTTTTCCTGATCTTCAAACGTTTCTTCGACATCACTTAATTCTTCAGTTAATTCATTTTCCGGGTTCAAGGATTCGATATTTACAATTAAGTAATACCAGGCGAATCTTGGCCTTTTTGGCAACTTTTTAACTTGATCTTCACCGTCTCATTAGACTGGGTTTTTTCCTGATCTTCAAAGGTTTCTTCGATATCACTTAATTCTTCGGTTAATTCATTTTCTGGGTTCAAGCAGACTTGGCTGCTCGATTTCATGTGAAATGTCCTCGGAATAACTGAAATTTTCCGAAATTTCGTCAACGTTCAAACAATTGTCTGAACCATGACATTTTGCACATAAATCTGTGTTTTCAACACCCGCATCTATTACCGTCGCAACTGATTTCGCAGCTGCAGGAGATTGTTTTTAATAAATCTTCAGGCACGTCTGAAACTTCTGTAAAGCGAGGTACGAGTAATTTGAAATTATTCGCAATTATTTCTTTCCAACTCCACTTGGTTGCAGTCATTTTGTTTCCAAGCCACGTCTGAAGCTGAAAGCATGCTCTATAGGAGTGTTGCGGAGCTGCTCCAACAGTTGGTGGTAATTTTTCTAATTTAAAAGTAGACTTTGCAGTTAATACTGCCTGAAATCTTAAATCATCCAGAGATAAGTTATCATTCGTGCATTTGTAATTCGACTTAGATGTTTATAGCAATACTGTACAAAAACAAAGTTTGGGGTCAAACAATGAGACAAAGTTTTTATTTGTATTTTTCGTACAATTGAATGGTGTAATAAGTTTTTGATTTTTTTTAAATTTAAACAAATCATCAATTACTGAAAAATTCATCATTCAATAACTTTTTACTTTTTTGCATTTTTTAGCATGTTTTTGAATTGTGATTACGGATTTTTTTATTTCATCAAAAAGTATATGTCAAAATGAAAAAATAAGAAAAAAACATGTTTTTCGCATTTTTCTCGAAAATTTTGAGGTTATCTTAAAGAGTGATCTCTACAAAAGTTGTAGATTTTTGCATGATCTACAACTCTTGTATTGGATACTTTTTCGTTTGACGTCAACTCCCTAAATCAACCTTCTGCCACCCCTGCTCACACATTTATTTTTTTAATGTTTATTATAAGCCCCTTTGCCACTTCCACTTATAAACGTCCAGGTAACTATTTTTTTTTCTCCAAGTGTAATTTGGTATGGACTATGACTATATGATGCTACGATAGATTTGAAATATTTCTTAAAATCAGTTTTTAATATAAGGTAATTGTTACTATTTCTTTAAACCACTGTGTTTAGATTGTGAATCTGTGTCAATGACCTCTGACGTTGGCCTAGTTTAGGCGAATTACGAAATAATAATTATCCACCTGACGTGATATGAGAACAAGGCACTAGGCGAGCAAAAATAGTAAAATTTTAAGTGACTAAGTGGCATTTAGTGAAGTTACGTATTTCAGTGTTTAATTTAGACATTTACTGCAAGGTAAGTCATTTGGTGGTGTTTTAGATACTGGCAGTGTTATCCCTCATCAGTAGTATCAGAAAAAAAAATTGCATGCTTGTAAAAAAGCAAATACTGGATATTGTTGATGATACGGCACTTATACTGCGGACACCTTGTATAGGAAACTTTACTTTAAAAAGTTAACATTATAAAGATGTATTTTAACAGATACATCTTTATAATGTTAACTTTTTGATGATACGGCACTTATACTGCAGACACCTTGTATAGGAAACTTTACTTTAAAAAGTTAACATTATAAAGATGTATCTGTTAAAATACATTTTCAGATTTGATAAACATAATACACTTACCCAATTTGATTTCCTGATCGGCAGTTAAATCGGGCATAGACAAACACACCTCCTTGGGCGCGTATTCACTACCCATCGT